AGCCTGTACTGGTGCCTGGGATTGCCATCTCACAGTGTTAGGTGTTTCCAGGTCACGGATGAACTTGTCACCTGAGCTTATGCTGCAGGCAGGCACGGGGACAAGCACAGCCAGGCACTGACCCCACTGATAGGGCTTTGCTGTCCTGCAGGATGGGGTGAACGTCCTCTCAGAAGTGCCTGCAGCTCCCCACAGGCTAAAAGGAGGTGGAGACAACGCCTCGGACACAGACACACACAGATCCTCACCAGAGGGACTTTATTCTGCACACACAAAAAGCATCCCTGCTGCAGCAGTGGCCTTTCAGCTGGTCAGCCAGCAGGGAGTGAGGATGAAAGGTGACAGTCAGGAGCTGCACTTGGGGAAACTCTGACCAAATATAAAGGGTTAGCTCTTCCCCCTGAGAAGTGTGGCACCACGACAGAGGTCCAGGGATCTCTAACCCCGGAGAGCCTCCACAGTTCAGCTGAACAAGGTGACACCCAAGGCAGCTTTGAGGTTAGCCCTGCTGTGAGCAGGTGGTTGTAACAGAAACCTCCACAAGTTCCTTCCAACCTAAATTCCTCTCTGAGTTGGAGCTCCTGAGGTCCCCTGAAAAAGCTTCTTACTCCTTCTCCTTCATCAGGGCCACATTTTGAGCCACGTCCCAGGACCCAGCCAGACCCAAGGGTGGACTTTTTTCCCCTCGAATGACACCAGTGGAAATGTGAAGATGGGAATTTCCTCATCAACACTGAAAAATGCCACCCGTCCCTCTTCATAATCCAGAGAGACCCGGATCCTCCTGGGAGGCTGGATCTCAGACAGGAACGTGCGACTGGGGGAGGTGAGTGCCTGGAACTGCCCTGCCCATTTCCCCACCGCCCAGATGCCCTCCTCCGGTTTGAACTCAATATCACCCTTCCTCTTCACATCTTGTCTGGAGACACCCACCGTCCACCCTGCCCCGTCCACCACCTCCACCTCCCAGAAGTGCCTCCCCGAGGTGAAGCCCTCTCGGCCCAGGACGCAGCGCCAGGGGTTGAACCTCTGGGGGATGTCGGGGATGTCCTGCAGCACGTCCTCACGCTTCACGTCCCGGCAGTCCTCGGACAGGATGAGCTCACAGTGGGCTGTGTCCGGGTCCAGGATCACCCTCGCTGCAGGAGAGAGTCAGCACATCAGGGCAGAGCTCACCCCAGGAGAGGTTTTGCTGGGGCTGCATAAAGAAGAAGGGTGCAAGTGAGAGCGGGCAGACTGTGGCACGGGAAGCTGCCCAAGGCAATGATAATAGCAGAAGGAATGGAGAATAAAGCAGAGAAGTCATCAAGCAGAAAGGGAAGATGGTTATCAGGGCACCTCCAGGCTGCAGCCCCCATGTCTCTGTACTGTGGCTAGCACTGGAGGACCAGGACCCTCCAAGTCTGCCTGAAACTGGGGCGTGCACCACGTGAACAAAGGGTCTGAGTGTAAAGTGAGGGCTGGCAGAAGCACCCCTGGTTCCACCAGCATCGTGTGGGAGGGGAACTGCCAGGAAAGGAGTTTAATGCAGGGAAGAGGATTCAGCACCCTGAAAGACCAAACTTTAATTACCTTCTTCTATAGGCACTGCATATCTTCTCCATGCTTTAAAAAAGAAATAAGAAACGACAGATGAGAGGTAATCTGGACACACTTGTACTGGGTTAGCTCAGGATAAGGATGTGCTACTGTAGCTGCACATTCTGAGCTGTTGCTGCATTTGTGGAAGTCATCTCTCAGCATGTAGCTTCAGAAGTTCCATGTCTAGCTACAGGAAAGGACTCCATCTACTTTCTCTGAATACAGTCATGCTGCCTGTCCTGACACACACATACAGTCATGGTTTGTTACTTGCTTTGAAAACTGAAAGAATTTTCTCCTTGGTATAGAAGGATTACATTGAACAGCTTAAAAACACAGAGAGAGCAAAAGGAAATAACATTTCTGAAATGAGCTCAGCATTTGCTACCTCTTCCTTTCCCAAAACAACCCAACCCAGGGCAGACACACCAAACCCAGGTGAGAAAATGTCCCAGCTGAAAAGTCCCCATGTAGGAAAGAGAAGAACACTCACCAAGTTCTGCAGCTTGCTTCTCTGAAAAAGAAGATAAATCAGCACAGATGGGTTGTGGGATAGAGATTTGGACAGAACCTGTCCTGTAACTGCCTGCACATGTCAGCACTTGGCAGTGCAGCCCCCTCCCACCCTGAAGTGCTGGGGATAACCCCCCAGCCCTGAAGGAGGGCTGGCAGATGGATGATGTCCACAACCAGGCAAGAAAGACCCTCCTGACTGATTTTCACCCAGGGTCTGGCCAGCATTGGGTGGGAACTGTTTAGGACATTGCCACCAGGTGCCCCCACCTTCCACATTAAATTGGAGGTGGGGCAAGAAGCCACCTAGATAAGAACTGGCTCTGCTTGCAGTGGGGTTGGCAGGCCCGT